TTATTTATTCTGCACTGAAACCCACATTCCTGTGTTAAGACTTTCACTGACAATGCATCCAAGGCAATAACAGAATTAACATGCTCCTTAATAAAAAATATTAACATCAGTTGGCTGTTACTAAGAACTGAATTCATCACAAGGATATTTCATCGATATTGAGTGCCTCCTGCGAAGTATGCAAACTCCAACGTGATGCAGAATTCATTTCAACACTATGAACTCCTGCAGTGAGTTCGGTTCACACGACAGGTTGAAGCTAACTAGTTCTCCTAATATGATTCCTAGATGCAATTTGTCGTGAAACAACATCAGTAGTGAACATCGAAGAGTTAATTCATCCTTATTCTTCTTCTTCTTCTTCAGAAATTTCTCCACAATACACAACTGTAATACGAAAGGTATTCTAGACGAGATTTCAAGTCACAAACTAGAATGAAACAGCTCCCCAGTGTGCTCACTTGTATTCGATGATCCCTTCACCAGCCATGTTTCGTGATGAAATCGAAGTTGAAAGCAAATCACGTGCGTTGGAGACAACATTTCAGAGAGAGATAACCAATGTTATTACTATCCATTCCTTTTGTTTCGTGTGGTATATACCCATTCCAGACGAAATAGAATGTGATAGGATAGATCCCATCATGGCGACCTGTGTCAACGAGTACTGAGAAGCACGCTATCTCTTCAAATGTTACAGTGTCCTCACTCACCAATTACAACAGTTCATGCATTTTATGCTCATTGATTGGTGTGATCATGCACCAGAAGGTAGGAAAGGCGATTGCATATTAGTTTGTTTATTAAATGTGTCACTGTATGATAGATACATTTAATAAACAAAGTAATATGGAATTACTTACTACGAGAGTGCCCAAGTTTTACACACACACACACATATATATATATATATATATATCCATATATATGTGACATATGTAAGTAAGAAAGGCACTTTCAATAATTCTCAGGAGTGACTCATTTGAGAAATACATTCACTCCATTGTCAGTGACATGACATGTATTCAGTTCGATTTCTCTCAGAATCATTTCGATTGATTGACTGATTTCGGCCAACATAATAAACACAGGGATCGAGATTGATGATGATCAACTACGGCTGATGTAGCTGAAGTTCAAATCATCTCGCGTATTCTCATTGGTCCAATGTATGCCTGTCTTCTTGGTCTCATTCACAATTTCCCGGATAATCCAGTCCACTACAATCAGGAATATCGTTCGTGATAGTAGGCAGCTTTTCCAGTACATCATCAAATACAACGAGTCCGGCTTTCTATCATAATTCTTGAACGATGTTATAACCTTAAAACCGCCTACAATTTCTCGTGGATTGAATGGGTGTACTGCTGAAAAGCCTTGAAGCAGGATAAAATTATGTCTAATAATCCTTGGTTGTCAGTGATTCTGTGACTAATGGTGATTCGGAGTGAAATCCAACTTGAATTTTTCTCAATCGGATCTCTGCTTCTTGAATTGATTACGGTGTTGCAGCAATTGTTATTCTTCTGATTCCACAATACTTAATTACGTCACTTTAAGGTAACTTACTCCATAAACCTCCTATATGTCCAGTGACAACTATTACCAAAGGTCACAGACTATTATACATTCTTTGCGTTCTCTGTGAAACAGAAGGCTCATTTACAACATTGACATGAACTTCTGTTTCCTGATGACTTGAAGGCTAACTCCACGGCTGTCAGTAAGCTTCCGCTCCTTGTTCACATTAGCTCTCTCGTGTTATCATGAGGTCCATTCACAGAACTTCAATTACCATTAACCCTGAAATCGAGGGCGTTCATGGTGAATGGTGTTACCAGAAATGTCTGATCACTATACATCCACTTCATCTCCACTTCCTTCTGAATATTCGTTAGTTCAGCAATATGGTACTGACTGGTTTGATGCATTGCTACAGCTAGCTTCTTGTCTCATTGCTTATCCTCTATGGTGGGTCACCTGTTCCTTAGTATCTTGGGAAGGCAGATGTTGATGGTAGTCTGCAGCTGGTTATTGGAAATCTGTTTTCTACATTTGCTACACTAATTCAACTTGAATCCCGTCTTCGTTGTAGCTCTTACCAACTTGTTTGTTTGTGTTTGTCAATAGTAACGGCACAGATCATCAGCAAACTTTAGATCCTCTACTTGTCTTCTTTTTAGTCGTCCAGTGTATAGCGGTTTCAATCACAATGAAACGCCAAAATTTTGTCGAGTGTGATGCAAGCACTATTATCCATCACTTATTTTGTTTTCAGACAATCATGTTCTTTGATAAAACATAAACTCACGAACATTTTCATTTCAATTTCAAATCTTTTTTTGTTCTGCCAATCTTGAAGAAAATGTTGGAAAGATGTATGTAGTGGGGAGATTAGATGATAGTTGAGTTCGAACTATATTATATCACATCATATGCCATAGATCGTAATTTCATTCGGATTCCGCGAGAAGGATCAATGGGTGTCAATATCCAGGTCTAACTACACTGGACTTCACAATGTCCCTATAACACTTGCAGCAACTATGTGTAATAACTAACACAAATATCCAGAACACAGATTGGTGACTCAAAAACCCTTCATTCTTGCACCAATATAGAGCCAAGCATTAGGGGATTCAATACAGGTCTAAGAATAAATGTTATAACAATAAATCACAATAATACTTCTGATAGTATTTCTCCGTCTTCTAACGAACAGCGAACGATGGAACGATGACTGCAGTATCGGTTACTCCCGCAAAAATATGGAGGAGTTGAGTCTGAGCAAACAACCATGAATTGATCGTTCAATCCTCAACTACACTGACACTACTCGGTAACAAACGGATTCATCCATTTTTCTATCACGTCCAATACGCGTTGACGTGGATTCCAGCGCGAGAACCTGCGTCACAAGGACAAAGCTCAAATGGAGAACAAATAGAAAAGCCAACACATCACAGGCATACACAAACCACAATCTCACTCATCGATGACGACCTACGCCTTCTTCCAGTTAAAGGCATCCTCTTGACACATCCCCTTGCAACACAATCGCCACTTGCTAGAATGTCTCTTGCAGAACGCAACGTGACCATACCACCACCTCATGATACTCTTCGCACATCCTCTTATCTATTCACTACCAATCACCACTGCGATCGCTTGTCACTCATTCTGCCTCAGTTCTAGTAACGGTGACGTATGCAAGCCTCAGTCGTCTACACTCTCACTCCCGGCGTGTGGGACCACAGCTAATCATCATCTCCGTGTGCATGTCATCCTCGGCACTAGCCTCCCCGGCGTATACGACCCATCTGCTGTCTTTAACATCAATCAATTCATTCACGGATGTAGAAGACTCGAAACCACTTCAGAAGTAATCACGACGAACAATTTAACAAAATTATGCAATAACAACAAGATACGAGAACAACAAGTAAACACGGTGAATTCAAGAACACCAATTGATATGACACACCACACATATATACAAACCGTACAAATAACCTCGCCGATCATGTCTCGATGTAATTCCTTTGAAGAATTGCAGGACTTACACCAGTACGCCTGCAACCCTTCTCAGGTTGACGATTGTAGGTTGGAGAATGTCCGGACACAAACAAGATTAACCAACAATTACATTAATTGGAACTCAATCAATTACTTAGAACAAACATATGTACAATCAATACGTCGAATGTTGTGGATGCTGGCTTGATGATCTACCCTTGAAGAACTGTAAGACTTAGAGCGGTATGCTTGCAGCCCTTCTCATGTTGACGCCCTAGGTTGGAAAATCGTTGCAGAGTTCATCTGCTGACTTCCTTCTATCATCTATATCCTCAAATCTGAACGGTAACACGCTCATGTCATTGTATCATAGAATATAGATGACGAACAAACATACGACGTATCTGGTCAACCAAGCGTAGAAACAGAGTAATTTACACCAAAGATAATAACATTCAAATAGTAACTTGAAACAAGAAATGCCTTTATTCATGCAAGTCAATTTAACAATTACTCTTTCGTTTACACTTGGCTTATCCTCTCTAAACTGAGCAATATCTTTCGTCCTTTCAAATGCACCAATACTATCATAGTCATTGCAGAAGATACTTGAGTTGATGGGCGACTGTTTCATTGTGGATGACAACACCAACGATGACCGATTGATATCAGTTGATGAAGTTAGCGGTGGATCAAAAGCTGTTGTTGCTCGACTTTCAGAAATTTGTCTACCTGCAAGACCACCACCACTGGTGTCTTTTACTATCAGCTCAGGTTTAACACTAGCATCTGACGATAGGTGGGCTACATGCTGATCACTCACACTGACGGTCTGACAAGTATGCATGCCTTCTGCAACTGCATTGCATTTATTTCCACTTCACGTTCAAGTTGTACAGAACTTTTGTTCAACTCAGCAGTAGTAGGCATATCTATCATGTCATCATGATCAACCAAAGACAACTGTGAAGTATCATGATCATTATCACGAATATTCACTTTACCGTCAACTTCATCATTTTCAAACTCTTTTCTAACAGAAGTAGAAAATTTTGATTCCTCCCCGCAAATCCTAAAAGGTTTTATAACTTCACTCTGACTAGTAATACCTTGTAAACTTGTAGGGTCAGAACTGGACTCTGAAGCAGCAACTCTATTCTGTGACACTCTATTCAACAATGGCTTACCAGTTGCAACTACAGACTTCTTCACCGCACCGTTATCGTCACACAATTCGGAGTAAGGCCTGAAGTTTACATTTAGCTCATCACTGAACTTGCTCACTGGTTCACAGCTCACCTTTGTATGCACCTCTTGCAAACGTGTAAAACACAACCGTGTTTGTTTTGCATCTTGTAACTTATCTGTTGAGGATGTACTACGAATCCTGTTACACTCACTAGGTCTATATGCATTACTAGACATCATGGAGCCTTCTCGATATCCACCTCTCTGAGGCCCTTTCGTCATCAATGATTGCATTTTTGTGGTGGACCTTTTCACTCTATTAGCTTAGTTACCCAAATTCAAGTAGAAAATAAAATACCAAATGAGTTTAGTTACGGGAAGAATGTATTAAAGTTTGATTACTTGAGTTTACAAAGGTCCACAGTCCACAATAAACGGAATAGACTCCAGGTGCTGCGGAAAGACTGCTCCAGTAGTAATTCTCCAATGTTAACGTTGCCGGAGGTCGACCAAAGTACGTAGGAAGAAACTACGGTGCTCCTGCAAGAATCAGAGATAGAAAGCAGGTGATTAGGATTGATCGACGGCAGTTGAGATGGTGGAGAAGACGGAGAGTCGAAGGCACAGCTGTATATTTATTCAAAACCCGAGGTAAAGTTAAAGTACAGAGTTTCTGGTTAAAACAAAGTGGTGTACAATATGTTCATTATTTACATAGTAGTAAAATTTGGATAAGTTTCTTTTTTGAGGACTCCACAGGGCTCCCCCTCTTAGAGGTCCGGAGGACCATCAGTACTGCCCTCGTGGACGATTACATGAATACAAGCAACATAAATAAGGGATAGTGTCAACAATATGGATAACAAAAAATAACAACAACAATAAAGATACAAAGTTAGATCAGGATGTATGGCATGCATCCGAGTCGTATAAAGTTTAGCACATACAGGAATTTAAAAAAAAAATCAAAATTTGTTATAATTTTAAATAAAAATTTATGTACGTAATAAACCATGACATGTTCGTTAACATTTGGGAAATTCATATATAAATAGATATATACATATACTTGGTGAATGCGTGTGCTTGCAGTACAGTTGACGAACAGCAAATAATACTAATAAATATTAATGGTTATAATGAAGTGAATGTTAACAACAATAGTAAATAATAATAGTAATAGCAACTTTTGGATAAAAATAGGGATATATTACAACATGCATGAGCACGAGAAGATATGTGAGTCATATAAAGTCTGAAAGCATATACAATTGGTTCAGCAATGAAAATTGAAAGAGAAAGTCATGTCACTTAAATTTGCACTAACCATGAACATAGATTTTTAATGTATAAAGAAAAATATGTAAATACACAGTAATTAAGGAGGGGAAAGAAAACATTAAAAAAATATGGATTAAAGATCAATAGTTTTTGAAAAGGACAATACCTGTTTTTTTAGGTGAGGTACATATAAATAAATAATAGTGATAGTAACATCAAAGTTTACGACGAAATACTAACCGTCATGATGATAATGTCTAAACGAAAAAAAAAAAAATAATTTTTAATTATTTTTCTTTTGTTAGTCCTCAAAATGAACGTAGCGAGCCGGTTTACTGATTTGCCGACCACTACGTGTGTGATATGGAGGGAGGATAAGACTTGGTGCCGGTGGAGTGGAGTCGGATGTTTGATTATTTGATTGCGCAGCTGCCGATGTAGATTCAAAGTCGTTGTCGGTGTATGCGGGTTTGATTCGATCAATTGAAACAGTCTCTCGTCTTCCATTCTTGTTCACTGTAAAGTGTTTGTCTGAACGTTTAATAACTTGAAAGGGTCCTTCGTATGGAGGTTGCAATCCTTTTCTGATGGCGTCGACTCGAATGAAGACGAATTTGCAAGTTTGTAGATTTTTGTTGATCTGATCTCTTCGGGGAGATTGTCGAGGTGCTGTTGGTTGAAGTTGAAGCATTTGTCTAGTTAATCGGTTAGTGAAGTCGGCAATGTTCACGTCTGTGGAATCGGCTGAGGGGACTAGCTGTCCAGGCAAGGTTAGGTTGGTGCCATAGACAAGTTGAGCCGGTGTACATCCTAAATCTTCTTTGATAGTAGAACGGATACCAAGTAAAATCAAAGGTAAGTATTCACTCCACTTAGATGTATCATTCTGCGCCATCAGGGAGCTTTTCAGTTGTCTGTGGAATCTTTCCACTAGACCATTCGCTGCCGGATGATAGGCTGTTGTGGAGATATGTTTCACTCCCAGAAGTCTCGTCAGTTCGCGAAAGAGTGTCGATTGGAATTGAGGACCGCGGTCGGATGTAATAGTAGTTGGTACACCGTAGTTTGACACCCAGCGGTCAAGAAAAACTAAAGCAACGTTTTCAGCAGATATGTCGTTTAAGGGGCATGCAATAGCCCAACGAGTAAATCTATCAATCGCTGTCAGGATATGTGTATATCCCCTTGATGTTGGCAATGGTCCCACGATATCTATATGGATATGCTGAAATCTCCTTTCGGGTAATTCAAACGTCTTTGGGGTGGTAATAGTGTGGCGGTGTACTTTGGAGCATTGGCATTGGATACATTCTCGTGCCCATCTCCGAATGTCAGAGTTCATTTTAGGCCACACGAAGCGTTCGCCGATCAGCCTGACCGTGGCGCGTACTCCAGGGTGGGAAAGCGAATGTAAATGTTCGAACAATGCTTTTCGGCAACTGAGAGGGACAAATGGACGATTAGTGCCGGTAGATACATCGCAGACTATGGTTGCATCTGATAAGGGGATAGGCACATCTTTGAGCTGTAAGGAAGAGTTTCTGCGGCAGGTTTGGAGTTCAACGTCATCTTTTTGTAATTGAGCCATACGATCAAGACTGATGTCTACCGACGTTTGGAGCTGGTTAATGTCACTTCTTGAAAGAGAATCGGCTACGATATTAGAATCTCCTTTGATGAACTGGATGTCTGTGGAGAATTGTGAGATGTAATCCAGTTGTCTGGCTTCTCTCGGAGAGTGTCTGTCCAACGAAGTGGTGAAAGCATAACAAAGAGGCTTATGGTCGGTTAAGATAGTAAAATGTCGACCTTGTAGTAAGAAGCTGAAATGTTTCACTGCTAGGTAGATGGCTAACAGTTCTCTGCCAAAGGTACTGTAACGAGTTTGCGCAGGTTCCAACTTCTTGGAGAAGAAAGCAAGTGGAGTGGTGTCATTATTGAACTTTTGTTGTAAAACTGCTCCCACTGCTACCTGCGATGCATCTGTACATAAAATGAGTGAAGCTTCTGGGTTGATGTGAGATAACATTACGACGTTGGATAAGGCATCTTTTGCATTATTAAATGCTGCTTTTGCTTCTTCAGACCACTGAAATTTCTTCGAATTGCATCTAAGTAGGTCGGTCAGTGGCTGAACTATGGAGGCACATGATGGAATAAAACGTCGGTAGAAGTTGAACATCCCGAGAAAACGTCTAAGTTTCTTTAAGGAATCAGGTTCGGGAAAGTTCTTAATAGTTTCTATCTTATCTTCGGTAGGTCTGATGCCTTCAGCAGTTATTCGATGTCCTAAGAATTCAATGGAAGGGGAACCAAAAATACATTTCTTTGGATTGATAACAACTCCAAATTGTTCAAACCTTTGAAATAACAGGCTTAAGTGTTGCATATGTTCTTCCATCGATGAGCTGGCAATTAAGACATCGTCGATATATACAAAGACAAAATCAAGACCTTGGGTAACTTGGTCCATAAAACGCTGAAATGTTTGAGCAGCATTCTTTAGTCCGAAAGGCATTCTCAAGAATTCGAATAATCCAAAAGGCGTAATAATTGCTGTTTTTGCAATGTCTTCTGGAGCGACTGGTATTTGATGATATGCCCTGACCAAGTCAACTTTGGTAAAAACGGTCTTTCCATGTAAGTTCAAGGAGAAGTCGTGGAGATGAGGTATAGGATAACGATCTGGGACCGTAGCGTTATTCAAAGCGCGATAATCTCCACATGGTCGCCAGTCATGATTAGTTTTAGGTACCATGTGCAGAGGTGAAGACCATGGGCTGTTAGATGGTCGTATGATACCTAACTGCATCATATGTTCGAATTCCGACTTAGCTGCTGCTAGTTTATCGGGTGGTAACCGTCGTGGACGTGCCTTCACAGGTTGTCCTGTTGTGATGATCTTATGCGTAACTGTATGAGATATATCTTCGGAGTTGTATGATGGTTTAAGGATTTTAGGAAATCGTTTCAATAAAGCAGAAAACATTTCACTCTCCGGCTTTTCTATACAGATGCTATGAACCGAGTAGTCACATGTAATACCGTGGATCTTGAGTTGGGTGCAATTGTCAATCAGTTTTTTCTTGCTGATATCAACTAACAGATTGAAGTGACTTAGGAAGTCTGCACCTAGTATAGCGTGACGTACGTCAGCTACTATGAAGATCCATGTGAAACGTCGGCGTAGTCCTAAGTTTAAAATCATTGACTGTTCGCCATACGTCTGTATGTTGGTTTGGTTGGCAGCACGGAGTGAAAGTTTTCCAGGTATTTTGGCTGATCGCCTGGATAGTGAGGGGGGAATAACACTGACCTCGGCGCCTGTATCTACCAGGAATAATGTGCCGGTAGTCAAATCCCTCACATAGAAAAGGCGACTGGGGTGATTGCCATTAACAGCCGTCGCCATTACTGTCTGGCTGGGGAGTTTCCCTGAGATGAGTTACTACTGTTGTACATACACGGTCGAATACACTTCAGGGCATTATGCCCATACCTCCTATGATACCAACAAATGTTACGGCTTTGAGACGGTGTTCTAGAACGTCGTCTAGATCTTGATCGCCGTTGCTTGGATACCGTATGTGACTGGTTCCTTTGTGCTCGAAGCTCGGACACTTCCAGTCGTAAATCTTGCATTTGAGATGTTAACTGGGAAAGTAACCAAAACATTGGTGCGTCCTTCATAGATGTGGAAGGGCTTGGTGGTACTGCCTCGGTAGACACGCTATTTATGCCATTATTTGATAACACATCCATGATATCGTCTGCCATTTTAGCTAATTCTTCAAGGTCTGTCGTCCTAGAAGATATTGTTAGGATTTGTTGAACATTTTGTGGTAAACGTTGTAAGAACATCTGACGTAGAATTAACTCATCTACTTTGTGTGACCCAATCAACTGGCGCATATGTCTAAGTAGTTGAGATGGCTTTTTTGTACCTAGATCACACGAAGTAAGTAGTTGTTGTATGCGTTTCTCATCGGAGAGAGTGGTCCGCTGGATGAGTGCAGCTTTTAGTTTGTCATATTGAGAGTCTGTAGGTTTGCTGTCTATGACATCGATAACCTCTCGTAGTACTTCCGTGGGAATTGCTGCTAATACGCAACCATACATGGCGATCTGCGACGTAATACCTCGAGCTGCAAACAACTGTTCAATAATTGTGAACCAGACACGTGGTTCAGCCAGATCAAATTGAGGTAGTCTTAAATCCGGCAAGGCGTTAACAGCAGAGTTCTGTGTCTCTTCGCCTTTATTACCTTCTTCAGCAACAGTGGTACGTTTAGGTGGAGCCATTGTCATATAATATGTAAGTATATAGATATACAAAATAGAAAAACTTGTGGTAACAAAAATTAAAGCAGTGCGAGTTTATAAGGACAAAATAGCAACAAAAATGTTCAAAACGAGGTAACTATCGAAACAAAAAGGTTCGAAAACGGGTTAACCATAAAAAAAGGGTTCGAAACGGGCTCACCAATTATTGTGGTGGACCTTTTCACTCTATTAGCTTAGTTACCCAAATTCAAGTAGAAAATAAAATACCAAATGAGTTTAGTTACGGGAAGAATGTATTAAAGTTTGATTACTTGAGTTTACAAAGGTCCACAGTCCACAATAAACGTAATAGACTCCAGGTGCTGCGGAAAGACTGCTCCAGTAGTAATTCTCCAATGTTAACGTTGCCGGAGGTCGACCAAAGTACGTAGGAAGAAACTACGGTGCTCCTGCAAAAATCAGAGATAGAAAGCAGGTGATTAGGATTGATCGACGGCAGTTGAGATGGTGGAGAAGACGGAGAGTCGAAGGCACAGCTGTATATTTATTCAAAACCCGAGGTAAAGTTAAAGTACAGAGTTTCTGGTTAAAACAAAGTGGTGTACAATATGTTCATTATTTACATAGTAGTAAAATTTGGATAAGTTTCTTTTTGAGGACTCCACATTTTACCCTCAGACTTCTCTATTCTAGGGGTGAGATTCAATATACTGGCAAACATGCTCATAGATTGATTGACACTAGTATTTACCAGTTTCAGTATATCATCAAATTTTGACTCGATACCCTCATCCTCCATACGGGAGCTTATCTTCACCCACTTCCTTTGCAGTCGAGTAGGTAGGCGTCTTGCTATTACTTCTAGTATAAAACTCGAGTTGAGGTCACTCACACAATTCATAGAAATCAAGGTATTCTTATAAGTCATAAGATTATCTAAAAACTCAGTAAGTGCCTTGGAGTCATCTTGAAGTTGACTGCCGTTACCTTTGACAGCTTCTTATACGTTCCTTACAATCATCGAACGTCTTCCAAACCTTTGACGTAATATGCTCATAGCCTCAGCGTATCCCTCATTAGGGGGAATGAGCTTACAGCACTGTATAGCTCTTGAAGCATCTCCAGTGCAATACCTCATCAAATACATCAATTTCAATTCATCACTTAATAAAAAACTACTCAGCATGATCTCAAACTCCTTTACAAATAGTAAACAATCAGCTGGGTTTCCATCAAAACAACGCGGTTCAAATTTAGGGAGTTTGATGTTCCTATTATCCTTGAACGGCGAAACAGTAACATCAACCATGTCATGCTTAACATCAGACACATCGTTACAATTAAGCGACAAGTCACAATGGCTTACTTTCCTGTTTGCATCCAAGACGCTCTGTCCCTTCTTTGACCCAGGCATTGCTGAACTTGACCCAATTCCAAAAACGTTCCAGATATTGCTTGTTCAAAGAGGACTTGACCGGCACCAGGAAAGATGAACGGCGACTATCCAAACTGTCACCAAATGTTTGAATCCGCCAGATCTGTTTCTATCGTCAGAAACTGTCAGCCACGTCTCTGAAACCGTTAATGCCCAGCTCTTGCTACGCTCGGGCTCACGCTGTTCCTTGAAGTTTTTCAGAAACGCTTAGTAATAACGGACGTAAAAACCAAAACACCAATTGTTGACTCGTGGATTCTTTATTGTTACACCAACAAATAAACCACGTATGACTAAGGTTTCTGACGGTGTTTTACTATTCTTTTTGAACAGCGACCGATGAGACGATGACTGTCGTATTGATGCCTCCGCGAAAATTGGGGAAGTTGATTTTGAGCAAACAACCATGAATTGATCGTTCAATCTTCAACTACATTGACATGGCTTCAAACTTCTTTACAAACTGTGGATAGTCAGCTGGGTTTCGGTCGAAACATCGGGGCTCATATTTAGAGAGTTTAAAATTCCTATTATCCCTAGACGGCGAAACATTAACATCAACCTTATCATGCTTAACATCACACACATCATTACAATTAACAAGCAACTCGGCATTACTTACTATCCTAACTGCTTCCAAGATGCTTTGTCACTATGGCCCAGGAATCATTGAACATGACCAAAAAATCCAGAAAAGTTCCAGATAACACTTGTTCAAAGAAGACAGATAGACACGAGGAAAGACGAAGAGGAACTATCAGAAACTGTCAGCCAACTCTCAGAGATTGTCAGTCTCCAGCTCTTACTACACTGGACCTCACGCTGTCCCTGGAAGACTATCAGAAACATTTTGTAATAACCAACGCGAAAACCACAACACAGATTGGCGACTCGACAATCCTTTATTCTTACGCCAATATGTAACCAACAATAAGGTCATTATACACAAGGTCTAAGAATAAATGTTATAACAATAAATCACGATAATACTTCTGATAGTTTTCTGTTTTCGACTGAACAGCGAACGATGAGACGATGACTGCTGGATTGATGACGCCCGTGAAAAATATGGAGCAGTTGGGTTTGAGCAAACAACCATGAATTGATCGTTCAATCCTCAACTACAGCGACAAACACCACGATAAAAATGACAGAAGTTTACTTCGCCATTCTTCACAAGAAATTTGCCAGAAGACATGGAATCGGATGTCATTACGCTACAAGAAGACGGAATGTAGAGGAACATGAAAAACAATTGGAAACAGTGGATGTTATTTAGAGCTCTTCAGGCAGTCCGCAGGCTACATGGTCTGTCTCTTCAATACAGTCTTCAGCATACACATCTCACAATGTTCAGTCGCTCATTTGGAAGATTGCACTAATGGTTTCTACACATAAAACAGTATCTGAGGACTATCCTTATAAATAAAGGTCTGTCGACCTCACTACCTCGTTAATTAAAGTGCCATGAAGGACCATCGGTGAGGTGTATTGAGTGGGCATACACGTGGGTTGTGGGAAAGGCAAGTGCTTATTCTAACCATCGAGGGTTTTCCCAATTGGTTGAAAAGGTGTAAAAACCAAGACATCAACGTTCAAAAACAGTGCATCTTATCGACCACGAACATATCGAATCAAATAATAAAATTTTTAAAAAAATAAAAAAAAAAAAAAAAAGAAAATCAAAAAAACAAAAATATTTCAAAAAAATAAAAAAAAAAAAAAAATATTTTTTTTCCGTAACCCCCAACGTTTTTTTGTTAATGCGAAGACAATACTTCTGTATTTCCTGATGTGTTGCACTCACTGACAATCTAGCGGATTTTTCCAACTATACACAGAAACGATTGTACATAAGTGAAAAGGATGTTTTATACTATTGGGATTAACATTTATCAAGTGTATGTATAATCTCCAGTGTACATGTTAAACATATTTTGCTATCGACTGTAAATTGTGACTGAATAATATGGTCCTATTTCTGTAACAATTTGATGATGCCTGTAAACTAGCGTCCCTCATGTACTGCATCATGAGAATAAATTTATTTATTTATTTATTTATCAATTTTGTCGGCACAAAGCAAAATGTGAGGAGCCTGCAGCTACAGAGGTTTATGCAGTTGATGTCTAATATCCCAGTCTTTGCGCTAGGAAGAAAATGCTTAAAGGTCTGAGTCTATCACGGTAATGTCTTTGACGATTGTGCAGATCCATTTTTTGGCGTATTATCCTTATCACGACTAAAATGACACTTTGTCCCATTGCAATCGAACTGCGTAACACTTGAAATGTCAGGCGTTTTCAAAACTCACATTCAGATGATAAGACTACCGTATTTTATTTATTAGCCGCAAATTTCCCCATGTATTTTTCACAGAATGTATGCGGCATAGTACTGAGAGTATTCAGCTGAAGTTTTGATAAGATTTGCTCAATTCACGACAAACCAAAAGCTACCCATCTAGACGGATCCGAAAAGCGAAGTGTAACGGAGCTTTTGAAATGAGGGATCGAGTGGGGTAAGGCTGCCTACGACCACTAGTGATATTTCCACTTGTGGTGAACTGGATTATGTGGCAAACCATGGTATACTCAACGGGAGGTATATGTTGGATGGGTAAGAGGGCTCCGGAAAAATCCATACTCTGCAGTAGATATGCATGCAGTGTCGCGTAAAATGAAGCTGCGCAGACAGTGGCCACTAGTTTGACGTTTACATGTGACACATGTGAGGATGTCAGAGGCAGGATCAGGGAAGCAAGACAGATCTTCATTAGTCCGAAATCGGCTTGTAAACCTTCTGCATTCAGGATACAGAACAAATCTCAGATTTTCAACTCTAATGTCGGATGAGTGAAGAG